CCCCGGGCACCTAGGCCGCGAGCCGTGGCAGGGGTGCCCAGGTGGGCGGCTGGGCTTGCCTGGGGCTGCTGGGGATGGGGGAGCGCCCCTTACCTTGGAAGCGGAAGCGGAAGGCGCCGGCGCGGGCGGGCGCGGGGCTCTGGTACCGCACGGCCACCTGGTTGCTGGGGCTGCGGATGACCTGGCCCCGCAGGAGGAAGGACTCGTTGGCCAGGACCACGGGCTCGGCGCCCCCGACCGTCTCCACCGTCACGGCCTCCCCCTCCAGCAGGCTGATGTTCTGCACCTGCGGGCACGGGGCATCGTCAGCTCCCCCAGCCCTGCTCCCACGCCCCTGCGCAGCCACACGCACCAGCGCCCCCGGCCCAGGCTCCAGCGCCGCAGCGGCAGGGGCCAGGCCTCACCCCAGCCTGGGGCAGAGCAGAGAGCAACACAGATGCCCCTGCCCCGGGTGGCCAAACCCTGGCCTGTGCCCGTGCTTGCGCCCGTTCCCCCAGGCCCTGCCTTGGCAGCACTCCCGGCACCGGGAAAGCGTCTTCCACGAGTCACTGAGCGCGGTGATGGCTGTCTGTGCCGCGCACCCGCGCCGCCCACACCTTTCAAACTCACTTAGCCTCGCCATAAATCTTGGCCCCGACCCGGCAGGGCCGATGAGGCGGAGGTGGCGCCGGGGCAGGCACCGGGCTCCGCTGAGCCGCGGCCAGACGGGGCCTTGCAGGAGAGACCGGGCCTGCAACTGGGCGCTGTTGGGCTTTGCGGGACGGTGGGTCCCAACCTTTTTGGCCCCCTTGGAAAACACCAGCTCTTCACTTCCACGGAGATTTTTGACCAGAGGAAACCCCCCGAGCGGGGCTGTGGCTGCAAGGTGCTCCGCCAGATGTGGCAGGGCAGGACTGGGGGGCAGAGGGGCTGCGGGTCGGCAGCGAGGGGCACCGGCAGGGCTGGGGTGGGGGCTGCGGGTGGGCAGTGAGGGGAGCTCACGCAAAACGCACGAGTCCTGCCCAGCCCCCCAAGCCCCTGCCTTTTAGTGGCAG